TGTGGTTGTGACCTCAACATGCAGAGGCACACATTCTGTATTCTGGGAAAATACAGTAATATATGCAATCAATGCAGCTGGGTTATTAATCCAGAAACAAATATATATATATATATATATATATATATATAATAGGGAACAATCTTATGCAGGAGGACAACAGGGTGAGTGTTAACACCAGGCTCTGCTTTCTAACACATGATTTACTCTGTTTTACTGGATGTCAGAACATCAGCGTCCTAGAGTCCAATGAGACTTCTACAAGTACTTTAAACTTTTTTTATTTCCTGTGTTATGATTCATCAAAGCAACATAACATGTGACTCTCTGCAGTCTTCCAGGGCCGAAGCAACAAACTTTGGGTTCAATAACCCACTTTTCAATAAGGCAGACAGGCGAGCTCTTCTTTTGGGAGGCCGTTGCATTTATTAAGGTCTTTGTTACAGGTCTAACTTTGAAGACACTCGACAGACCTTTGCTGCTGCTTCGTTCACTTCAAAAACACATACCACCCCTCGCTCACTCTCGCTCGCTCTCCCATGCACACACACATGCACGCGCCAACCCCCCCCCCCCCCCCCCCTCTCTCTCTCTCAGGGACAGCTGCCTGACTCTGCATGACCCTAATATCAGAACACAAGTTTATTATTATGATGGTTATGATTGAAACAAGTGTGTTATTATAATGTGAGTGTGTGTGTGTGTGTGTGTGTGTGTGTGTGTGTGTGTGTGTGTGTGTGTGTGTGTGTGTGTGTGTGTGTGTGTGTGTGTGTGTGTGTGTGTGTTTGTGTGTTTGTGTGTGCACTACTAGAGAACAAGGAAGTGTGAAGAAACTTTAAATGAATTGACAGAAAGTGTAAGATAACTTCACGTTTTATTTGTTATGTGACAGAGTTACTTCCTTCCTCTTCACCAATAAACTGATAATGAGCATTTATATGTAGTGTATGACATACAATGAGACACCTGTGTGTGTTTGCAGGCAGCATAGAGATAGATATACAAGATAAAAGCAGAAAAGTGTTTTACAATGTTGTACTTAAGTATTTCCATTTTATGCTGCTTTGTACTTACCCCACTACAGTTCAGAGGTAAATGGTGTACTTGTACTCCACTAAATGTATTTAATACCTTTAGTTACTTTACAGATCTGGATGAATGATGTGAAATATAATCAAGTGTTAAATCAGACTTTAGTTCCACCTGGAGTAAATTCACAAGCTACCCTGCAGTATACAAAGTCATTCAAATTAGCTGCACCTTTACCAGCTTTGAGAACACTTTAATGATCAATCATTATAAAACATATCATATATATTATTCTGAAATGGACCAATCTGCACAATGAATACTTTTACTGTCGCTACTTTCACTATATTTTGATGCTAATACTTTTCTACTTTTACTTGAGGAACATTTTGAATGCAGGACTTTTACTGTAACAGAGTATTCCTACACTCTGGTACTTCTACTTTTACTCAAGTACAAGATCTGAGTACTTCTACTTTTACTCAATCTGTACTTCTCGCTCCTGTGTATTCCTCTTCAAGACAGAAAAGGCACATATGGATGTTTGTGATTAAATGCAGAAACTGATGTAACACCGACCTCTAGTGGTCAAGGTGATTACAAGTACATTTACTCAAGTACTGCACATCAAAAACATTTAAAGGTGGGGTAGGTAAGTTTGAGAAACCGGCTCGAGATACACTTTTTGTTATATTCCATGGAATGCTCTTAACATCCCGATAGCAATGAATATCTGAAGTGCTTTGACAAAAAATCCATTAAAAAATGTCATCTGTGGAAGCCGTAGTACTGTAAAAAGCACGACCAATCATTTTAGCCGGCCCTGCTAAAATAACTGGATGGCCTACCTGCCTGTCAGCCTTCCATCTGTGCACAAACTTATCTCGTGCCCTCATTGGTCATGTGCACGTTCGTGTGTGTTGGAGGAGGGGCTCTGTAAGGAAGTGGCAGATTTTCTCCGGTTGTGTATTTTCAAATTCTAGCGATCTCGAGCCGGTTTCTCAAACTTACCTACCCTACCTTTAAACATAATATACTTTGTATCAATACGTTAATCTGTCTAGATCGGACAAGGTTTCTATACTGACTGCAAACAGTCTGAATTTGAACATGCAAAAGCTCTTGGGAAAGCTGTTGAGCGAGCTAAAAAACAGTACGACAAAAACATTTGTCAAACCCAACACAAAGTGAGAGATGCAGTCTGGCACCTGATTAAAGGCACCACAAGGGTTAAAAACAAGGTACGAAAGTTTCTGCCATCCTACGAGGGTCCTTACTTCATTGTAGGCATGTTGGATGACCTGATCTATAGACTCAAAAAGAGCCTGTTGAGATCTTCATATTAGGTTGAATACTTAAAACGAAAGTTAATTATAATCAAGTATAATCAATTATATTCTTGTATAACCCACAATGAAAATGCATCATATGTTATGATTTTCTACATTTACAGTATAAACAAAGTGGTTTGTTAAGTTGAGTGTGAGGCCTATGATGGTTCATGGGTGTCACTGATAAGAGAAGAGGCAGTTTCTTCCCTCTTCCTACAGCGGTGCACAAGGAGGGGGGCTCCTGACTTAGTGATAAAGAACTAAGAGGCCCCAAAAAGGTGTTTTTGCCATAGCCGAGAATAATGTTTTAGTTCTGTACATTAGAGGTCATGAACTTTTGTTACATAAGCCTGAGAGGGTGTGTCTTGGGTTTTCTGCCCTGTTTTGAGCTTTAAAACACTGGGCGAGAGAGGAACAGCTTGAGAGCTGGGTTTTTGCTCTCGGTAAGGTACTCTCAAACTTGGTAAATATCTCTCGAATTTCTTTGTTGAATGCTGAGTGAATTTCTTTGTGAAATGAGTGGAATGAATTGATGTTTGTTGAAAGTTAGTACCCTGCCACCTATGAGGAAGGTTCTCTGAATTCATGCGGGACTAGTTGAAGTATGCGAATGTGGAAATGAGAAAATGAACTGATTTGTTGAATGAAAGTTTGAATGTGCTTTTTATTATCACCGGTCTTTTATGAGGAAATGCCTCTAAATTATATCGGGAGATTTTAAATGTCACAACTGAATTGGGCAGTTGAAGTTACAAATTATGGTAATAAATGTAAAACTGTGAATTAAAGTTTCATATTAGAACATGATCACAGCATGATAGGTTTAGTATGATTATAATGTTGTAACAAGAGAAGGTAAAAACCCTGTATAAGTTTGGACCTATTTTTCTTCAAATAAACTGATCCCACCTTTTGGATTGGGACAACTTAAAAGACATCTGCGCTCTCCTCTCCTGCTTCAAAGGTTGCACACTGCCACACTCACACTTAGGTAGGGCCACACCTCATTTACTGATATCAAAATCCTTCGGGATCGCTTAAACAGATTTAGGGGGTCGTCTGAATTGAAACAGCAGTTAATTGAACCTGGTTCTTCAGGGAGTTAATAGAGGTGAGATCTTGCTGACGTTGGTGGATCCGAGCCAAGCAGCAAACTTACATAGACTCAATAACTTCGGTTAGGTCAATTAGGAGGTCTGAGTAATTTGCCGGAATAAATTATCAGTCCTCCCGACTCTTACAAGCCCCAGAGCCAAATAGTTGTCCACCATGACAAGCTCAAGCCTTACTATTCCAGGACCCCATTAGACAACAGCTGGGTGTTCAAAGACACAGACGCCTGGGCAGCTGTCGAGGTGCCGCCCCCTCAGCCAGACCTCAACTGACGCAGTCATCGGGCCTCTCCACCTGTGGGACCCCCCATCAGACGCAGAGGATCCAGCTGTGGAGGCCCTCGAGGACCCAGGTTCTTCACCGCCAGTTACGCTTGTTGTTGTTTGATAATTGTAATGCCTAAGAGCCACATCACATAGAGTGAAGTCACACAGTGTTTAATTTAACTGGGTTGATTAACTACATCACAGTATGTTATGTACATGTCAGTATGTGTGTTTATACACCTTTGAAATGTTTAAAAAAAAAAAAAAAGGATCTATGCAGTATGCTTCGTGGACATTTTTATGGACATTGCCTCATGATTCAAGCTGTTTCCACAGCAAGGAAGACGCCTTCAAGGACTGTGGGAAATGGGGATTATTGTGGGGAATGTGTTGCCATTAATGTTTCATGCTTTCCTTTTATAACAGAGTATTCCTACACTCTGGTACTTCTACTTTTACTCAAGTACAAGATCTGAGTTCTTCTAAGTTTACTACAATATCTGAGTAGGCCTACTTCTACTTTTACTCAAGTACAAGATCTGAGTATTTCTACTTTTACTCAATCTGTACTTCTCGCTCCTGTGTATTCCTCTTCAGGACAGAAAAGGCACATATGGATGTTTGTGATTAAATGCAGAAACTGATGTAACACCGACCTCTAGTGGTCAAGGTGATTACAAGTACATTTACTCAAGTACTGCAACTCAAAAACATTTAAATATAATGTATCTTTTTATCTGTACATTAATCTGCCTAGATCGGACAAGGTTTCTATACTGACTGCAAACAGTCTGAATTTGAACATGCAATGGCTCCCTGGTGCCAGTAACAAAAAACGCCATTCATATTCTGGGAAAAATACAGTAATATATGCAATACATGGAGCAGGGTTATTAATCCAGAAACAAATATATATATATATATATATATATATATATATATATATATATATATATATATATATATATATATATATATATATATATATAATAGGGAACAATTTAATGTGACGTTAACACTAGAGTACTTAAATACCTACACACTTTAACTTAAGTGAGGTTTTGAAGACAGCATGTTTACTTGTACTGGTTTCTTTTCACACTGTGGTTTTAATATATTTATTTCAATAACTTTGTTGAGCTTGTTTTTAGCTTTATTTGTATCTCACTGAACATATGTGAACTTGTTCAGCTGATAAGGTTGGTTATGAAACAGAGAAGGGGGGGGGGGGGGGGGGCTGCAGACAGGGAGGGAGGGAAGTTGAAAGTGAAAGTATGAAGTCAGACTTGTCAGAGTGCCAAACGCCATTTTACAGCTCGACGGAGCAGGAGGACAACAGGGTGAGTGTTAACACCAGGCTCTGCTTTCTAACACATTATTTACTCTGTTTTACTGGATGTCAGAACAACAGCGTCCTAGAGTCCAATGAGACTTCTACAAGTGTTGTAAACTTGTTTTATTTCCTGTTTTCTGATTCATCAAAGCAACATAACATGTGACAGCCCAGCGCAGTCAAAATGGAGAGCGGCCTGTCTGAAGTCTGACTGATTTGATGTATTTTAACCAAGTTTATTATTATGATGGTTTAGATCAGGGGTGTCAAACTCACAGCCCGCCACTTCATTTTATGTGGCCCACAAGAGCTTGCAAATAATATAATACGTTTATTATAAGGTTACGTGCTGCTTTACAGGAGCACGTTGCCCATAAACTACATGTCACACAATGCATCTCATTTTGTGAGATGCGCACTGAAGAGACTTGTAATTATGTGCCCGAGACTTCTACTTTCAGACGTAGTTAATTATGAAGTTATTACCCTAGCTGATAATAATCTAATGCAGAGGAAATATTGTAAAATAATACATTATTTTATATATAGGCTATTATGCATATATATATAAATATATATTATATATATTTATCTATGTATATTTATATAGTCTTTAAGTTACCACCCTTTGAGTACAACCATCATTCTAATGTGGCCCGCGATGACATTTAGTTTGACACCCCTGGTGTGTGTGTGTGTGTGTGTGTGTGTGTGTGTGTGTGTGTGTGTGTGTGTGTGTGTGTGTGTCATAATTACTGACATTATTAATACAAACGCTTTAATCTTAGAGCAGCTTTTTTACTCCTTAATATAAAGTTAGATAGTTTAGTCCAGAGGTTCTCAACCTAAGGGTCGGGCCCCTCCAAAGGTCACCAGGTAAATCTCGGGTGGAAAGAAGCAAATGATTTCTAAAACATAAATCTGTTCTCCCTTTCTAGACATGTCTCCAACATTGTATTTGTAATGAAATAATGATCATTTGTTATTTAGATGAAACCATGTGGGTTCGATAAATGTAGTCAGTAATAAGTGCAATTTTTCCCTCTGAGATGTATTGGATTAAACAAAAACAACGTACAGTACTTGAGGAAATATACTTAGTTACAGTCGGCCACTGGTAATATTAAAGCATTTAATGAAGTGAAGCTTTAGAGAAATGTTCATTAACTGAGAACATATTGTGTGTATTTACCACGTGTTGTTCCTGTGTGTTTCCAGCAGGGGGAGACACCTCATAATGAACACGTGGTGATCAGAGATCTGACCCTAACATACCAGCAGGTAACAGACCGACATTATATTACATTACATTAAATATTATGATGATACACAGCATGTGTGTGTGTGTGTTGATCTGTGGCTAACAGGAGTAAACAAGTGTTGTTTTTGCAACTTTTTTACATTTTTACACTTGTGATTTTGTGAGAGTGGCTTCAGCTAAAATGTCATTCAAATATTCATATAAAATCAGCACCAAAAAGGCGTGTCCTACTCATGCTTTTTAAATAAAACTGCTGAATTTTTTTAACAATCTTCATTTTTTCACTAAAAAGGTTTGTTCTAGTTTTCCAGTGTAATACTATCTGCTCAATTGGCCTCATTAAAATATTTATATAAAATAGATGAAGCTCTTAATTTCAGTAATACAAAGGTGTGTGTGTGTGTGTGTGTGTGTTGTTGGAGCAGAACACCTATCTGGTGGCTGATAGCCCCCTCTCCGCGCCGTTCGTTGAATGAGGCTGATCTCTATTAAATAAGAAAGGAATTGAAAACACCGGAATCAAAAGTTATAACAATTATCTGAGTTTACTGGTAGGAAACCAAACACATATACAAGTTATACAGAGTACTCCGGACTTCAGGTTTGTGATGCGATGCGGATAAAGGTGTCGGGACCCGCCAACTCATCAAACAAGAAGAAATTGACTTCAGGTTTGTGATGCGATGCGGACACAGATATCGGGACCTGCCAACTCACCAAACAAGAAAGCATTTTACATTCAAAAACAACAGTATTCATAATCATATTTTGGGGCGGAGATGTGTTGACTTTTCCCTTCCCCTTTTTCTCCAAAGCGAATTAGAGAGTCCGTGAGGAGGAGCTGTGTGAGCTGCTCACATCCCCCAGGTGTTTTTACTGGTTGGATTCACTTCTGGTCGGGTTCAATACAGCGAATCAGAGTTCTGACCAGAACGTGAGATTCTAAAGTTCACAAGGTCAAAGTCAATCTTATCTCTGCCCCGATATTCACTCCCTTACTTTCCCATGGGAGTTTTTCACATAAATTATTCTTTCTCATACAATTAAACCTTTGTGCACAAATATAATGATGTCCATAAGGACCTTGAAAAAGAACATGTGTGTGCGCTGGTGAAATGGAGGTGTGTGTGAAACAGGATCTCTGGGTCAGTGAGTTGTAAGTGAGAATATCATTTCTATATATGTGATTACTTAAAACAGTTCAACCAATAAATGTTCACTAAAATACAATTCAAAATAATACATGTTCACTTCAATACAGTGTAGAATCATATCTTTTTACTTCAGAGTGTGTGTGTGTGTGTGTGTGTGTGTGTGTGTGTGTGTGTGAGATCTCTCAGACTGGGGAAGATGGGTGGTTTAGAAGATGAGGAAGAGGACACATCTTCAGTCCCCAGCTGTCTGTCTCTGAAGAGTGACTGGTCTAAAGATCAACCTCCATACTTCAGTAATGAACCTGGACCCTCAGACACAAAGTAAGAGTTTCTGCTGTAACCTGACCTGAAAAGGATCCAGTTTTTATGTTATCTGATAATCTAACCTGTTCTTTAATGATCGCAGTAAAGAAACTTAGTAACAGTACAGTAACAACGTTAAACTCTTGATCCCTGGCGTCATCAGCGATAGTAAATAATCTACATACAGACAGAAGTCAAAATGTGCTCTCTGAATGAACTAATGATGTTTAAAACATGTGTTGTTTCCACAGACAGAGAGCAGAGTCTCATGTCCCCAGCTGTCTGTCTCTGAAGAGTGACTGGTCTAAAGATGAACCTCTATACTTCAGTAATGAACCTGGACCCTCAGACACAAAGTAAGAGTTTCTGCTGTAACCTGACCTGAAGAGGATCCAGTTCTTATATAATCTAATATATTAAACTGTTCTTTAATAATATCATGTGTGCAGTATAGCACAGAACAAAGGCAGCAGAGTACAGCAAGCTAACATTATTTGAGGATATTTCAATATGCATTTATAGCATCATTGTATCAGTGGCATCAAAAGGTTTTAAATGGCAAAGATATTGATAAATACTCACTAAAAACTAAATATATCGTCCAAAACATTATTTACTACTTGGGCATGTTTATGATATGTATTTTAAAGATGTTTATTAATAATAGTGATAACCTGGTGAGCTGGTTGTGTTTAGCATTAGCAGATATAACAGAGCTTTGTGTGATTACATGTAGAGTCAATGCAAAGACCCAGATCCGTGCCTGGAGACACCAAGAAAGTGAAGAGGTGAAATTCATGTCACCTGCGTATTTGTGCAGCGTGACACATTTCATCTTGAGAGTGACGTTTGTGACGCTCTGCCCATTGGTGAGAATCAGCTCCACTAATGTGACGTGCTGTAAAGGATGTGTTCATCTCCACAGAGGGAAGAGGAAGAGTGGTGTTCCTGTGGAGGAGCAGCTGTCCAGCTGTGCTCTGTGTCAGGACGTCCTGAAGGATCCAGTCTCTACCAGCTGTGGACACTGGTTCTGCAGACAGTGCATCACCTCATACTGGGAGCAGAGACCTCCATCAGGAGACCCCTGCTGTCCCCAGTGTGGAGAAAGATCCAGAACCAGAGCTGGACTGCAGACAGCCAGTCAGACCAGCTCTGTACGAGGTAAGAGGCCGAACACATGCAGCGTCTTATTCCTCTTCCTGATTCATTTGTGTTTGAACAGGTATACTGTTGTAGAGCATAGACAGTAAGCTGTTTATAAAACATTTAAACTCAGTCTGTTTTTTTTGTTTTATGTTATAATTAGATTCTCAAAAGCATTTTCCTCATTCTCTCACGTTTCCTTCTCTTCCAGCAGATAGTGGTCTGCAGGAGGTTTTAGATGAACATAGGCTCAGTCTGAGGAGGAGATGTGAACGTGTGACTGAAGGAACTGATCAAAGTGAAACCCTCCTCAACAGCATCTTCATTGAGCTCTACATCACACAAGGTCAGAGTGAAGAGGTTAATACCCAACATGAGGTGAGGCAGCTGGAGACAGCTTCCAAGAAGGAGACCCTCCATGACGATCCAATCAAGTGCCAGGACATCTTTAAAGCCTTACCTGACCAACAGACTCTCATCAGAGCGGTCCTGACCAACGGAGTCGCTGGAGTTGGAAAAACCTTCTCAGTGCAGAAGTTCACTCTGGACTGGGCCGAGGGTTTGGGAAACCAAGATGTCAGTCTGGTGATCCCGCTCTCCTTCAGGGAGCTGAACCTGATCAAAGGTGAGCAGTACAGTCTTCTCAGGCTGCTCCATGTTTTCCATCCAACCTTACAGAAGGTCACAGCAGAGCAGCTGGCTGTCTGCAAAGTGCTGCTCATCTTTGACGGCCTGGATGAAAGCAGACTTTCTCTGGACTTCAGAAACAATGAGGTTGTGTCTGATGTCTCACAGCAGTCCTCAGTCAACGTGCTGCTGACAAACCTCATCAGGGGGAAGCTGCTTCCCTCGGCTCTCGTCTGGATAACTTCCAGACCTGCAGCGGCCAATCAGATCCCTCCTGAGTGTGTGGACAGGGTAACAGAAGTACGAGGCTTCACTGACGCCCAGAAGGAGGAGTACTTCAGGAGGAGATGGAGTGATAAAGACCTGTCCAGCAGAATCATCTCTCACATCAAGAGCTCCAGGAGCCTCCACATCATGTGTCTGATCCCAGTCTTCTGCTGGATCACTGCTGCAGTTCTGGACCACATGTTGACTACAGACCAGAGAGGAGAGCTGCCCCAGACCCTCACTGACATGTACTCACACTTCCTGCTGGTCCAGACCAAGAGGAAGAAGCAGAAGTATGAAGAGGGACATGAGACGAGTCCACAGCAGCTGACGGAGACTGACAGGGAGGTTCTTCTGAAGTTGGGGAGACTGGCGTTTGAACATCTGGAGAAAGGAGACATCATGTTCTACCAAGAAGACCTGGAGCGCTGTGGTCTTGGTGTCACCGAGGCCTTGGTGCACTCAGGAGTTTGTACACAGATCTTCAAAAGAGAGAGAGTGATCTTCAAGAAAACAGTCTACTGCTTTGTTCATCTGAGCATTCAGGAGTTTCTGGCTGCAGTCTACGTGTTGCACTGTTACACCAACAGAGACACAGAGGTACTGAAGGACTTCCTGCAGAGAGACTATAACAACAGCAGAGATCAGGATTACCCATCCCTGCCTGTCTTCCTAAAGGGAGCCATGGAGAAATCCCTCCAAAGTAAAAATGGCCACCTGGACCTGTTTGTCCGCTTTCTCCACGGCCTCTCTCTGGAGTCCAACCAGAGACTGTTAGGAGGCCTGCTGGGTCGCATAGACAACAGACCAGAAACCATCCAGAGAGCCATCAGCAACCTGAAGGAGATGAGAAGTTATTCCTCTCCTGACAGGAGCATCAACATCTTCCACTGTCTGACAGAGCTGAAGGACCACTCAGTACATCAGGAGATCACAGAGTTCCTGAAGTCAGAGAACAGATCAGAGAAGGAACTCTCTGTGATCCACTGCTCTGCTCTGGCCTACATGCTGCAGATGTCAGAGGAGGTTCTGGATGAGTTGGACCTGGATCAGTACAAAACATCAGATGAGGGACGACGGAGACTGATTCCAGCTGTGAGGAACTGCAGGAAGTTCAAGTAAGTCCAGATGTGATTAACTTTATAAACTAATGTGGATCAGGAGTTTAATTATTCAAATACACACGATAACATTTCTGCTGTTTAAATACTGAGAGCAAAATAAAACCAACACTGTTCTTCTATTTATTTATAATAATAGTTAAACTGAAGCGTTCCTCTCTTCATATTGAGTGATGGAGGCGACATGTCAAACACATGAAGGACTTTAGAGGTTTCTCAGCTTGTGATCACACCACACAGCAGGACTTACAGTTATCACAGAAACATGTTATTATTACTTTCTAGTAGTTTCTTTATCATTAAACACGTTTTTATCACAATGTGTTGGAGTTTAAAATCAGATCTATATCATTTCCCACCAATAACAGAGTTATGTCTTAATGCTGATATACTGGGAACATCTGATGCTATCAAGTTGAACATATTGAAACTTTATTGGTTTGTTAATTGTGTTTGTGTGCGCAATAAATGTTCAGCTGCTCAGAGAAGCCAAAACATCCTTCATCCATCATTCACATCCACATATTAACTAACATTTAAATATGTACATCTCTAATATTGTCAAGTGATTCATTTAATTTCTGTTTCTTTTGGTAACAGTCAGTGACAGCAGGAGCACAGACATGTGATCAGATCACACTGACAACTCATTACACTCTATTATCATATATTATTATATATTATATTAAATGGACTAACAGCAAATGTCTATCAGAACATGTCAAATCTTTTTTCATCAAATGCTTGATGTTAATATAATGTTTCCTCTTTTTTAACACATGTTGTAATATATGTTTTATTATAGACTTACTGCCTGTGGACTCTTAGAGAGTCACTGTGAAGTCGTGGCCTCAGCTCTGAAGTCTGACCCCTCCCATCTGAGAGATCTGGACCTGAGTAAGAACGCTCTGCAGGATTCACATGTTGAGATGCTGAGTTCTGGACTAGAGAGTCCAAACTGCAGACTGGAGGCTCTCAGGTCAGTTCACTGACTGCAGTTCATATTGATCTGTTTGTGTTTATGATTTTCTGAATTGGAACAAATACAATGTTATTTTTATTTGTTCCGTTTTTGCTAATGACTGAATATTGATCAGAGTAACAAAGAGAAGGTGAATGTGTGAGGGAGAGTGTTTGAGTTTCCACAGACTCACTCTGTGCTCCATGAGTCAGTGGAGATGCTGTCAGTACTGATGAGCTGTGAGGGAGATGAAGGAGTTGTTCAACATCTGATCAAAGTTAAAGTTCCAGATTATCAGTGGATTGTTTCTGCATCATCTCTGACATTAAAACCCTGTTTCATTCCGAACAGATTATTAAACCTGGAGTTATTTCAAACAGGAACATTGTTTTCTAAACTTACATCATGTTTTCTTTATTCAGACTGGAGGACTGCATGTTGTCAGAGATCAGCTGTTCTGCTCTGATCTCAGCTCTGAAGTCCAACATCCATCTGAGAGATCTGGACCTGAGTCTCAACGCTCTGCAGGATTCAGGAGTGGAGCTGAGAGATCTTCTGGAGAGTCCAGACTGCAGACTGGAGACTCTCAGGTCAGTTCACTGACTCTCTGTTACTGCTGGAGATCTCACATGTTCACTTTGTAATTGAACCTCATTTATATTCATTAATAACTTACATCCATCAAGTTGTAAATGTCCTTTTATTCATATTTCATTTTTAAGAGTAAGAAGAAAGAACTGCAGACATACATGTTGAGTGTTTCTTAAAGGAACTGTAATAGATGTTAGTTGTAAAAAGTAAATATATGTATTTCATATTTAGTAAACGTTAACGTCTGAATAAAGGTCATCTGAAGTCATTTTAGTTTTACATTGTGGTCGGAATTTATTCATCAAATGTGGAAAGAGAATCAAAGCATTCAGCTGTCTTTGTGGTATTTTATTTCTTGAAGAAAG